TCACAGAAGTGGCATGATGTATATGATTGGAAAACGCATGTAAACCAATATTAGGGAAGGATTGCATATTAAGACTACTAATAACAAAATACGCCGCTTACAGCAAGAAGCTAGTTTAGCCGATTTGTTAAGCCTTCCTGAAAACACTAGCAACAAGCGATGACTAATGTTTTTAATAAGTGCACAATCAATCAATAGTGCGATTACATCAAGCGCATCGAATGAAAGAGTAACTTGAAGAATTCAGATGAATCTGATACAAATATTTGTCTTTAAAAGGAAAAATTGAATAGCAGCCTGAAAGTCGGACTCTTTGTTGCTGAAAGAATGATGCGAGTCCGCTTTCATAACTCCTTTTAGATAAAAATATAAGCAAAATCAGTTAATTCATCACATAATAAATCCTACTCATCGTATGCACAACTAACCGAAGGATAGCTACGCTGGTTTAGAAAACCCACCTTGTGATACTGGAAAAACTATCGCGATGAAGTAAAACTCGTTATTGAACATATTTAACAGATAACAAGATGTCCGGCATTTGACGAAATAAACTCACCGCACGACTCTGCATGAGCGATAGCGTGAAAGAAAATGAACATGAAACGATCTGATAACGGAAATTCGATAATCGACAATAAATAGGGACGAAACTCGTAAGCGATCAAAAACACTGTGATATTAAAGAAACTTGCACGCTGCTCATACAAGAACGCCGATAATGAAAATATATGAGTAGTAAACACCCATGTTCATCACAAAAAAGAGATATTCAGAAAACGAAAAAACACATACCTTCCAAACTGTGATAGTTTCAGAATTGAATTTCAACTGACAGCATTTGCATATCTTCAAGTTTTAGCTAAACAAAATGAAACAATGCAACTTAAAAGACAGATTTTCAACTTCCCAAATAAATAACCGATTGATTTCCACCTAGAAGGAAAAAAAGGGATAGTTTGGAAATTGAATTTCAACTTACATAATTAACATTTGTTTGAATTCGCGCTAAACGAAAAGGAACGATAAGAATTGAAAAATTGGTAATTCACTCACCAGATAAATAATCGATTGATTTCCACCTAGAAGAAAAAAAAGGAATAGTTGGGAAATTGAATTTCAACTTACATAATTCACATTTGTTTGAAGTCGTGCTTAATTAAAAAGGAACGGTAAGAATTGATGAATTGGTAATTCACTCACCAGATAAATAATCGATTGATTTCCACATAGAAGAAAAAAAAGGAATTGTTGGAAGATTAAATTTCAACTCACGTAATTCACATTTGTTCAAATTTGAGCCAGCGGAAATGTGAATTAATTGGAAATTAGTTTTGAATTTACGGAGACAATAATAGTTGAAGGTTAACGGGAGCGAAAATAAATGATATAAAAAAATTAATATTCTGATTACCAAATAAAGCATCGATTGATTGTTACCTAAATGAAAATAATGATAATAGTTTGAAAAAATTGCCATTTTGCTTTCGAAAGAAATAATCGTGCGAATTCCACATAAGCGAAACAAAAACAATATAGTAGAGAAATGCAAGGAAAATATTGTTTGTTAGATCTCTCAAGGGTTGTTGGGAACTTGACTATGAATTGCTGAACATTGTGAATGTAAATAGACAACAAAGCAACGAAGAATCCGAGTATCTAGTCGAAATTGATAGGAAAGAGAAATATGAACATTTATTTTCAATATGTCCGAGAAATTCATGATAACTTAAATAAATTAATAGTCATAGCTTACAAAGATTAGTGAATATTGCTAATTGTGATCGATATATACTCAACTGATAGAAATGTAAAATAATCACAAATGTAATTCAGTATTCTAGATCATATTGATGATTTATTAATACCTTAACTACATCATGCATGTAAGAATGAGATGACGAATACAAAAAAAGGATTGGTGTTGTCGTAGAATTCATGCAAAAGTAAAATATAATCAGAAGAAACAAATTATTATGAATATCTATGAAATGTTGTCAACAGCTAAACTTGATAATTGAGTATAGAATCAAAATAGAAAAATCTATAGAACGAGTGGATTGATCGATTGTAATGACTAATTGAATAGTAAAATAAATGAAAAGATATAAATGTATGTGTATATGTCGAAAGAGGTGGTGATGATTTACTTGGAGGACTAGGTGCAGAATGAAAAAAGGTTTACAAGGCTAATATATTGATGGTATCGTACAACTGGTTGAAATGGAAAATAATCAAAAAATCGATGAATCACACAGTAGATTGCTGAAAAGTTAATTATAATGAAACGAGAGAACCTATTGATTTAAAGGAAGAATTATAAGAAGCATGGATGTAGGATGATTGCGATATGTAACGAAATGTTTAAAAGACAGAAAACCAATAAACGTTCTACGTATCATTGGTAACTTGCGCATGGTTTATCTACATAACTTGTCCCATAAAATAGATGAGAACAAATCGATGATATTAGTGAAGTGGAATAGTGAACAAAGTCTAAATGGAGTTAATTGGGTTGGATCTTTCTTACAAGTTCATGTCTATGAAAGTAGATAGATGGTAGAAGAAAGGTGTTTTGAAAAGAAATACGTAGGACAACGTTTTCGTATCAATGAATGATGTGGTTCGAAGAAGTGAACGCATGAAAATCGAAAAAGCATTATGAAATTATGTAAGAATGAACGTTCTTCAAATGTTCACCTCATGCGTTCGGAATCATTTGCATGTTTTTTCAATGAATTGACGAAAACAAGACTCTGTTCAGTTCAACTATAAGTCTCCTTATTGATTATGTTTTAAAGTAAAATAAAAAGTATATAACGTAGAACAAGGAGAACAAGAAAACAACGAGAATGTTCTATGATTTCGTGAAACAAGTTCAGTTCGAGAGAATGAGTACAAGGCATTATTTTTTGATGGTTCGATTTATTCATCGTGGATATTTTGCTTAACATCGTCGTTTTTTTTTGTTTTGTCGCGTATGAGCAGTTGAATTAGTAGTATCATTGAGCGGGATTTGATGTAGAGTTGAAATTTGATGAGCACTTTTTTCAGAAGTGTTCAGAAATATGGCATTCTCGTCGTCCAAATTTTTGTTAATTTTTCTTTTTCGTTGTTGTGTTGCTGTGTTTTCGCTATTATTACGACATCTATATGGAACAAAATTATAAATTTTGTGTATAGTCAATAGTTTAGAACAATAGTACTAACTCATTTGTAGCAACAAGTATATGAGAATTAGAATTATTATTAGAAGGTTTTGGTTCTGCTGTTTGAGTAACAGTAGAAGAATCCTGTTCATTTAAAGAATCTTGCGATGAATTCATTTGAATTTTTGATTGTGTTTGTTTTTGAAATTCGACAATAGGTATTATTGAACTATTGCATGCAGAATTGAAAGAAGTCGACGATATTTTATGTTGTTCATACTGAATATCGATGTTCTTTTCTTTGATTAAGAAGCGAAGAGAATTCGACAGATAACGTTTATCACCATGCAATACAGAATAAATAAATCGAATTGTTCGACTTTTCTTATCAAATGTTAATTCAAAAATTGTGTACATTGCGATAAGAAGGGCAATGGCATCATCAGGTGAATTTGTCGAAAGAATTGGATTAAAGTCAACATATACGTGAATCAGATTATCAATACACACCAATTTTGGATATGGTGTCATGGGTTCCTAAAAAAATTAAAGTTTGTATAATGTGTAGAATTAAAAAAGGACAGAAAATCCACTATATATCATTTTCTGATACACATGTTTATGAGCCGCGCAAGTTTTTTTAGTTGAAAATATGTAATGACAATTACATCTGAGTCATTTCGATACGAATTTGTAATACAAGTAGTGCGAATAAATAAGACCTATATACTGAGCAAGCGACTAATCAATGATGAAAATAACAAGATTGGATAAAATAGATACCTATCACAACTAAAATAAGTTGAAATTCTATTCTATTTGTGTACTTTTTCTCGTGTAAATTAGTCATTCATTGATTTACATTGGCTCAAACTAATCTCAGGTCTTTTTGTGTTGGAATCTTTAACAAAAGTATCAGTCGAACAATTTATTAAAAAATAACTTACCATGTCACACAATGTATGTTGTAGTGTTTCATCGAATCGTCTACATAAAACTTTGAGTAATCGAATAGGAGGAGAATCTGAAATCAGGCGAAATTTATTTATATCTATATATTCATTTTTTAATCTACCTGTAATAAACATCGGAGTTTCAAGCACTTTTTCTAATAATATAGGAATCTGTCGTCGAACAGCAGCACTCAAATCAATTTTCATCAACATTTTTACTTCTTCGAAGACCTGTTACAGAAATAAATTTGTTCACTAAAAATAAACAGTAGATGAAAAATTGACATACCAATAATGAATTGCCATAACCTGGAAAATCTTTTAGAACATCTGCTGTTGATCGATCTCCGATAGATTGTCGACGAAAATAAAACGTTTCTTTCCACAAATGTAATTGAGTATGAATATCAATCGTAGTTGTATCTCGTAGTTGATCTGCTTTTAATTGAATATCATTTAATGTTTCATCATTTTGCGGAATTATTATCATCTAAAAAAAAATGAACTGACGAATAATATTAAGTTGTAATTTACTTGTTTGTATCGATCACGTTCAGCTGTTTCACCAATTTTTCGTTTAACTGGACGTCCAGATCCTGACCGTGAATATTTTAGCCGATATTCTTGAACAACACCGTTATTTGAATTTTCGAAGCGTTTAC